AGCGTCAGGGTGATTTCTCACTTTCCCTCTTCTTCTCTCTCTCTCCAGAGAGCACATTTCTGGCAAAAATCTCTTAAAAAAAAAAAAAAAGTGATGTTGGGACCAGCAGTTAGCGTAGTGGCTATGTTGCTGGACTCCCACGTAGTCGACCGCGGTTCACGTCCTGGACCCGGTGGCTTAAAACTCACGCCGGGCGTGTGTGTGTGCGTGCCCAAGATCCCAAGAGGAGAATGGAGGAGAAGGGATTGTGGCATGGCCATCACCCCTGGGGGGTGATTTCTAGCTTTCTGTCTCTATGTCTCTCTCTGTCTGGCGAGCGCACGCGCCCTATAGCAAAAACCTCTCCAAAAAAAAAAAATGTGATGCTGACACATGTAGCATCTCTTCTTTCTGTTTATACAGCACATTTCCTGTTTCTCTATAAGACCCCGAGTTCCTTAAGTCAAGGACTATAACTGTAACACATGCACATGTATCTGAAGCCCAGCATAATGCTTGGCTTGCAAGTAAATGAAGGTGCAAATTGAGTCTTTTGGGGACAGATTGCTGGAGTAGTGATCAGTAGTCCCTCATTAGTGTTGTGGACAGAAACTAGAAAGAGCATCAAGAGAGAGGTTTAGCCTTTTGGCCTGAATCGCCATCTTCCAGTAATTAACCGAAACGATGAACACAAAGGGAAAGATCTAAGAGCAGAGATAGCTTCCTAAAACGTGTGAAGGAAAATGACCAGAAAAAGAAAGAAGCCAAAGAGAAAGGAACCTGGGTTCAACTAATGCACCAGCCTGCTCCACCCAGAGAAGCACACTTTGTGAGAACCAATGGAAAGGAGCCTGAGCTACTGGACCCTATTCCCTATGAATCCATGGCATGATGGGTGTTAAAAATAAACTAATCTGTGATCTATTAAAAAAGAGAAAGAGAGAGAGAGAGAGAGGTTTAAAGCTTGGTTCTGGCAGTACCTACCTGTTGCAAAATTCTTCTGAAGCTTAGTTTCCTCACCTTCTCTACCTACATCACCAATTTTATTTTTATTTTTTTTTTTAGATTTTGCAATAGGGTGTGTACACTCTCCGAAGAGAATCACACATGCAGAGAGATGAGAGAGAGAGAGAGAGAGAGATCATCCCCCAAGAGGGATGGCCACGCTGCAATACCTTCTCTTCCATTTTCCTTTGGCAATTTTGAGCACACATGTACACATGCCTAGCATATTTTTCAAGTCACTGGTTCTGGGACTCAAACCATGCAGTCACTCATGTGGGATCCGGACACCTCAACTCTTGTGCCACCTGCTGGCCCATCACCAAATGTTTTACATCTTCTAAGTCTTCTTTTTAATTTGCCATAGGGCATGTATGCTTACCAGAAAGAGCCATAGACACAGTAAGAGAAGGAGAGGGATAAAGCATCCCCCAGTGGGGGTATGGTCATGCTGTAAATCCTTCTTCTCTATTTTTCCGTCCTATTGGGATTTAGGGGACACATATACACGTCTGGCATGTTTTCAAGCTACCGGGGCTGGGATTTGAACCACGTGGTTGGCCATGGGGGATCTAGCTCCCCTAACTACCAGACTATATGGCCAGCCCTCTTATTTTAAGATTAAGTATTTTTATTACTGATGTTGCGTTTCCTAGTTCTCCAACTTTAAATATGAAGGTGCAAATTGAGTCTTTTGGGGACAGATTGCTGGAGTAGTGATCAGTAGTCCCTCATTAGTGTTGTGGACAGAAACTAGAAAGAGCATCAAGAGAGAGGTTTAGCCTTTTGGCCTGAATCGCCATCTTCCAGTAATTAACCGAAACGATGAACACAAAGGGAAAGAATCTCTAGGCCTTTTAGAAAACATGGAGTTGTTCCTTTGGGAACATATATGCGAATCTACAACAAAGGTGATATTGTAGACATTAAGGGAATAGGTACTGTTCCAAAAGGAATGCCCCACAAATGTTACCATGGCAAAACTGGAAGAGTCTACAATGTTACCCAGCATGCTGATGGCAATGTTGTGAACAAACAAGTTAAGGGCAAGATTCTTGCCAAGAGAGTTAATGTACATACTGAGCATATTAAGCATTCTAAGAGCAGAGATAGCTTCCTAAAACGTGTGAAGGAAAATGACCAGAAAAAGAAAGAAGCCAAAGAGAAAGGAACCTGGGTTCAACTAATGCACCAGCCTGCTCCACCCAGAGAAGCACACTTTGTGAGAACCAATGGAAAGGAGCCTGAGCTACTGGACCCTATTCCCTATGAATCCATGGCATGATGGGTGTTAAAAATAAACTAATCTGTGATCTATTAAAAAAGAGAAAGAGAGAGAGAGAGAGAGGTTTAAAGCTTGGTTCTGGCAGTACCTACCTGTTGCAAAATTCTTCTGAAGCTTAGTTTCCTCACCTTCTCTACCTACATCACCAATTTTATTTTTATTTTTTTTTTTAGATTTTGCAATAGGGTGTGTACACTCTCCGAAGAGAATCACACATGCAGAGAGATGAGAGAGAGAGAGCGAGAGAGAGAGAGAGAGAGAGAGAGAGAGAGAGAGAGAGAGAGAGAGAGAGAGAGAGATCATCCCCCAAGAGGGATAGCCACGCTGCAATACCTTCTCTTCCATTTTCCTTTGGCAATTTTGAGCACACATGTACACATGCCTAGCATATTTTTCAAGTCACTGGTTCTGGGACTCAAACCATGCAGTCACTCATGTGGGATCCGGACACCTCAACTCTTGTGCCACCTGCTGGCCCATCACCAAATGTTTTACATCTTCTAAGTCTTCTTTTTAATTTGCCATAGGGCATGTATGCTTACCAGAAAGAGCCATAGACACAGTAAGAGAAGGAGAGGGATAAAGCATCCCCCAGTGGGGGTATGGTCATGCTGTAAATCCTTCTTCTCTATTTTTCCGTCCTATTGGGATTTAGGGGACACATATACACGTCTGGCATGTTTTCAAGCTACCGGGGCTGGGATTTGAACCACGTGGTTGGCCATGGGGGATCTAGCTCCCCTAACTACCAGACTATATGGCCAGCCCTCTTATTTTAAGATTAAGTATTTTTATTACTGATGTTGCGTTTCCTAGTTCTCCAACTTTAAATAACCTCTGTGGATTGCAAACTCACTAAATGAGATTTAATTTTTAAAAACTTTTAATTATGAAAAATTTCAAAGCTCAACAAAAGTGGAGGAAAAAGTATAATACATACACATGGACCTGTCATCAGTGTAAACAATTATTTATGTACCCATAGCTTTTATTTCATTCCTAGTCCCATCCACTTCCTGCTCCCATTACTTTGCTATAGGGCGTGTGCGCTCTCCAGACAGACACAGAGAGAGAGAGAGACAGAGAGACAGAAAGTGAGAAATCACCTCCCGGGGGGGATGGTCATGCCGCAATCCCTTCTCCTCCGTTCTCCCGGGATCTTGGGCAAAGACGCACACACGCACAACATGAGTTTTAAGCCACTGGGTCTGGGACGCGAACCGCGGTCGACTACGTGGGAGTCCAGCGACATAGCCATCACGCTAACTGCTGGTCCCCTGCTCCCATTACTTTGAAGCAAGTCCCAGACATGGTATCATTTTATCTGTAAATATCTTGGAATGGGACCAGCAGATGGCGTAATGGTTATGTCGTGGACTCTCATATAGCCAACATGGTTTGAGTCCCAGACTCGGAGACTTAAAACTCACACTAGGTGCGCATGTGTGTACACCCCCAAAATCCCTAGAGGAGAATGGAGAAGGGATTATGTGGCTATCCCTTCTGGGGGGTGATTTCTCACTTTATGTCTCTCTGTCTCTGTCTCTCTGGCAAGAGCATGTGCCTGTAGCAAAAATCTCTCTAATAAGTAAATAAATAAAATAGATAAATAAAAATATTTCAGTATGTTTGAGAAAGAATTCTTAACTGCTAGCTGGCACCCCTTCTGTTTTTCAGTGGCTTAAAAAATGAAGCACTCATGGGAACCAGCAGTTAGCATAATGGCTATGTCGCTGGACTCCCACGTAGTCGATCGCGGTTCGTGTCCCGGACCCGGTGGCTTAAAACTCACGCTGGGCGCGTGTGCGTGCGTGCCCAAGATCCCAAGAGGAGAATGGAGAAGGGATTGCGGCGTGACCATCCCCCCTGGGGGGTGATTTCTCGCTTTCTGTCTCTATGTCTCTCTCTGTCTGTCTGGCGAGCGCACGCGCCCTACAGTGAAAATCTCTCAAAAAAAAAAGAAAAAATTAAGCACTCATTAAAAAACATATTACTCTTCCCAGAAATAAGAATCTAGTATGATGATTTTATTTCATGACATAACCAAAATGGTAAGTTTTTTATGCGTGTGCACCTGGGTGGCGTGGGGTGGGGGCAGACAGTGATGGGATGGTCAAGATAATATGGATGGATATTACAACACCTAGTTTGGTGCCTTGCAATAGAGGTTGAATGAGGGACAAAAGTACTTTAGGTGTTTCGTTTGTTTGTTTGTTTTTTGTTTTTATTTTTTAATTTGCCACACAGCCAGTGCCAGAGAAAGAGAGAAAGCATATAGGTGGGGACTGATTACTCCAAAATTCTCTCTCCTTTATTTCTCTTTTTTAGGACTTTGGGCACGCCTGTATACACACCTTGTATGTTTTTCAAGCCTCTGAGTCCCAGATTCCAACAGCGACTAGAAGGGAAGGCCATGTGGGATCTGGCTGGCTTAATCACCAGGCCATGGGCTGGCCGTGTTTTAGATTTTAAATAAAGTATTATCCACATGAGACTAGGGGCTTGCTTCTGTCCTCTTACTATATTCACTACTCTACAGGAAAGTTTCACATTTTATTTAACAAGCTAAAGGGTTATCCAGGGTAGCCTAAACTCTTCTGGCTGGGAGGCAGTACCTAGACCTTGCTCCCCTCCTTTCCTGGCAGGATTCACGGACCGAGGGCGGGCCGAGGGGCGGGGCTTAGACGAGGCCCCGCCCCCACGCTGACCGCCCTCCTCCCCTAGCTCTTCCGCTCTTCTTCCCGGCAGCCCTAGCGCGACCCGGCGCTCCTCAAGATGGCGGCCGACAGCGAGGTGAGATCTTTGCTCCCTATCTACTCCTGTCAGTGTTAAGTTCTTTCCTTCGCGTCATCGCCCCGGATCAATCTCTTTTTCTCTCTCCTTCCCTTCCCTGCAGCCCGAGTCCGAGGTATTTGAAATCACGGACTTCACCACTGCCTCGGAATGGGAAAGGTGAGTGAGTCGCATCTTTGGTTGCACCCTGGGCCCCGGCGTCCCCCCCGCCGCTTCTATAACCCACTCAGACCTCATGTGACATCGGTCATTTCTGCGGGAAAAGTACGACCCATGGGTCCGGGTTCTCCGCCAGCCCCTTTCTCTTGTTGGCTGCAAGTGTCAAGTGTCTTCCGCGTTTCGCTCTCACAAGACCCGACCGGTCCCGCTGTCAGCCAAACCCTCAGGGCCCGGGCTCTCCGAAAAGTTTTGTTTACTCTCAGGCCACTTTCCTTAGACCGTCGCGTTTGCTGATTGCTACCCACTCACAAAAACAATTTCGCAGACCACCACACCGTCCCTGTTTTCACTGCTTTTTAGCATTTTGTTACCGGAAGTAGTAAACTTCACAGGTGCTTTTTTTTTCCCTTCCTGTGTACGTGGTTATACCCTTTTCAAGAGTCCTTTCTTCAGATTACTGGTGGTTGACCATGTGTCGCACTCCCACCATCTCCATCCTGTCTTTTAGGATAACCTTTTTAAAAAGTCTACATATGGCTTTGGAACGCTTTGTTAAATTCAGTGAGTAATGTGCCCAGGCTTCTCGTGCCCGTCAAACTCAAGATGAACAGCTGTCTGGGTGGAACTGTTGTATCACTGGTCTTAGTTGAAAGCCAAGTTTATGGAGGAGTGATCTAAAAGTTTGCTGTTTCCGTGACACAAAAACCCTTGTCTTCTGGGTGTGGATGTCAGTATTTAATTGTTGAGACATTTTACACT